ATAGAATGTCCCAGCGTTGGGCGCAAAGTCTATTTCTCAATTATTGCGAGTACACGTCTCCATGGGATGGCCCAGCTGTGGGGCGACACAGAGGGATTTTTTTTGGTTTCTTGTTATTTTCGTGGTTTCTTCATAAGGGTTTTCTCCTTGGCGATTTTCACATTTTTTTTCTTCCGATTCTCTCCTTCCCTCTCTTTCTCTCTCTCTCTCTCTCTCTCTCTCTCACGGATTATCGAGCTAGGCGGTTGGTGAGCGCCCAATACTGATTTGACTAATCAATGACATCGAGTGTGATGCTAGTCCACCTCGACTTTCAAGTGTACGATGGGGATTTGTGCTTCTTAGTACTTAATTGAGATATATTTTACAAGAGTTTGCCAACAGTTAAGTTAAGGCTAGAGTAGCCTACAACCCATCACCTTAAGTTAGAGGCAGGGGATCTAGCTCCCCTCTCATGATACAACACTTCATTTCAATACAGTGGTAGAGGACAGTGGCGAAGGCTACGGAGCATCCGTGGTGACGGGTGGGTGCCGGCGGGGGTGGGAGGGGCGGCTCTGGCGCAGATGCGGCATGGGAGGGGAGGAGGGAGGCAGTGGAGGAGAGGCATGGCTTTTACTCAGTCGCCGCGCGATGGCGTAAATATAGGGAGAAAGTTAGGACTAGAGTAAAAATTATACTCCCTTACGATAGATTGGGGATCGGCTAGGTGCCAATTAGGAAGTAAAACTACATTTTTACTCCTCTAACCGGTTATAAGGGATCAGTTAGAAATGCCCTAACCAACCAACTTTCTCTAAGTTAGAACACTCATATGCATGACTGCATGGCAAACGTGGTAAGCACCCGAAGTTGATGTAAAAAGAGAGAGACTATTATGCGTGATAACAAGGCGGTCAAGATCTAAAAGCATCTACAGCCATGCACCTCATACCGGCCTCATACGTCCGTGCGGGCCGCCCAGTCACTGCCCGATCGCGTTCTTTTGACTTAGACGGCCCTCAAATGCCCGGGCTGACAGGCACCCCCAATATCCAGCCTAAATATGGGGCGGATATGGGGGCGTCTGGGCACGCCCACCACATCGGACCCGACAGCCTGACCCCATCCCAAATTGCACCAAATCCCCCTTTCCCCGGCGAGTTGCCAGATCCATTTGTTCTCTCCTCTCTTCTTCCTCCTCCGCGCCGTCCGGCTCGCAACTCCGCCGCCGCACGTGCTCCGCAGTCGTTCCTGGCCTCTGCGCCGAGAGCTCCGGCAGAGCAGTCCTCTCTCCCGTCCTCACCACGGGGAACGTCGTCTCCAGCTCGGACGCCACCACGGTACGCCCGACAACTCTCTGGCTCCACCTTGTGTTTCATGTGTTCGGCACATTGTCTAACCGGATTTTTTGTGTTTTTGTTAGGGAAAATGATGGATTTCGATGCTTCGTCAGACGAGGAGTATGGACCGACAGAGCTTGACCAAATCATTCAAGATGAGTTCGTCCTCGGATTCAGACGAAGAAGTGGACATGATTATGCGCATGAGTATGCAAGAGGAAATAGACCGCCAAGTGTAGCATATTCTCAACTTCAAGGGCTCAATCAAAGGAGGAAGAGTGATCAACCGGGATAGGGTGTCCGGAACAAAGCTACTCTACAGAGACTACTTTGTGTTGGAAATATGCCCTAGAGGCAATAATAAAATGGTTATTATTATATTTCCTTGTTCATGATAATTGACTATCGTTCATGCTATAATTGTGTTATCCGGAAATTGTAATACATGTGTGAATACATAGACCACAACATGTCCCTAGTGAGCCTCTAGTTGACTAGCTCGTTGATCAATAGATAGTCATGGTTTCCTGACTATGGACATTAGATGTCATTGATAACGGGATCACATCATTAGGAGAATGATGTGATGGACAAGACCCAATCTTAAGCATAGCACAAGATCGTGTAGTTCGTTTGCTAGAGCTTTTCTAATGTCAAGTATCCTTTCCTTAGACCATGAGATTGTGCAACTCCCGGATACTGTAGGAATACTTTGGGTGTGCCAAACGTCATAACGTAACTGGGTGACTATAAAGGTGCACTACGAGTATCTCCGAAAGTGTCTGTTGGGTTGGCATGAATCGAGACTGGGATTTGTCACTCCGTATGACGGAGAGGTATCTCCGGGCCCACTCGGTAAGACATCATCGTAATGAGCTCAATGTGACTAAGGGTTGGTCACGGGATGATGTATTATGAAACGAGTAAAGTGACTTGCCGGTAACGAGATTGAACGAGGTATTGGGATGCCGACGATCGAATCTCGGGCAAGTAACGTACCGATTGACAAAGGGAATTGAATACGGGATTGATTGAATCCTCGACATCGTGGTTCATCCGATGAGATCATCATGGAACATGTGGGAGCCAACATGGGTATCCAGATCCCGCTGTTGGTTATTGGCCGGAGAGTTGTCTCGGTCATGTCTGCATGGTTCCCGAACCCGTAGGGTCTACACACTTAAGGTTCGGTGACGCTAGGGTTGTAGAGATATTAGTATGCGGTAACCCAAAAAGTTATTCGGAGTCCTGGATGAGATCCCGGACGTCATGAGGAGTTCCGGAATGGTCCGGAGGTAAATATTTGTATATAGGAAGTCCAGTTTCGGCCACCGGGAAAGTTTTGGGGGTCACTAGTATTGTACCGGGACCACCGGAAGGGTCCCGGGGATCCACTAGGTGGGGCCACCTATCCCGGAGGGCCTCATGGGCTGAAGTGGGAAGGAAACCAGCCCCTGGTGGGCTGGTGTGCCCCCCTTGGGCTTCCCTTGCGCCTAGGGTTGGAAACCCTAAGGGGGTGGGGGCGCCTCCACCTGCCTTGGGGGCCAAGCCACCCCTAGGCCGCCGCCCCCTCCCATTAGATGGGATCTATAGGGGCCGGCGCCCCCTGGCCCCTATATATAGTGGAGGGGAGGGAGGGCAGCCACACCCAAGTCCCTGGCGCCTCCCTCCCTCCCGTGACACCTCTTCCTCCCCGCTTGCGCTTGGCGAAGCCTTGCCGGGATCCCGCTACTTCCACCATCATGCCGTCGTGCTGCTGGATCTACATCAACCTCTCCTTCCCTTGCTGGATCAAGAAGGAGGAGACGTCTCTCCCAACCGTACGTGTGTTGAACGCGGAGGTGGCGTCCGTTCGGCGCTCGGTCATCGGTGATTTGGATCACGACGAGTACGACTCCATCAACCCCGTTCTCTTGAACGCTTCCGCTCATGATCTACAAGGGTATGTAGATGCACTCCCCTTTCCCTCGTTGCTAGATGACTCCATAGATTGATCTTGGTGATGCGTAGAAATTTTTAAAATTCTGCTACGTTCCCCAACACTTTGCTCCCAAGCCCGTTGTCCCGGATGATCCATGGTTTCATCGTCATTTTCGCATGTGGGAACCATTGTTCTTGCGCATTGTGGAGGGAGTGGAGGTACACGACGACTAATTCAAGCTCACAAGGAATTGCTGCGGACAACTCTCTTTCTCTCCTAAGAAGAAGTGCATGGCTGCTCTGAGGATCCTTGCACTTGGTACTGCTGCAGATGTCGTTGCTTGAAGACGACTTTCAAGTTTGCATGCGCCGTGGTGGAGGTGTTTGGACCTGAGTATGTCAAAGAACCAAATGTGCAGGACACGGAGAAGTTGTTGGCTATTGGACAAGCAAGGGGGTTCCCGGGAATGCTCAGATCAATTGGTTGCATTCATTGGCAATGGAAGAACTGCCCCAGAGGTTTGCGGGGAATGTATCACGGTCACACCAGAGAGTCCACCATCATACTAGAAGCGGTGGCATCACATGACTTATGGATTTGGCATGCTTTCTTTGGAATGTCGAGTTCTCACAACGATATTAATGTGCTTCAATGATTTCCGGTGTTCAGGAAGCTTTGCAATGGGGAATCACCACCGTGCAAGTACACCGTCAACGGACGGGACTACAACATGGGATACTATCTTGCCGATGGTATCTATCCTCAGTGGGCAGCGTTTCTGAAGACGATATCAGAGCCGCATGGCAGGAAACAGAGCCACTTTGCAACAATGCAGTAAGCGGCTAGGAAGGATGTGGAGAGGGTATTTGGTGTGCTTCAAACTCGTTGGGGAATTGTGTGGAGCGCTACAATGATGTGGGAATCAGAAACTTTGTGGCAGCTGATGACATGTTGTGTTATTCTGCACAATATGATTGTGGAGGATATGAGGGCAATGCTGTAGCCCAAACCAATAATTTTGAAGCACCTGGAGAACAAGTTGAAATTCCGGAAGATTAAGATGCGGCTCACCTGATGAACTTTCTGCAGATGCATCAGAATATTCGAGATCGGCAGGTGCACACGTAACTACTCAATAATCTTGTGGAGCACATGTGGACCCACAATGGCAACCAAGAAGCCAATGCTTGAGTTTGGCACTTAAAATATATTTTATGTAAACACTATCTATACTTCGTACTAACATTTGCTATTTACATGTGACATTGGCTTGTATAATCGACGTGCATGCATTTGTATGATATTGAGAGTCCGGATTTGAAATATGTGGATGCCAGGAAGAAAATATGAAGGCCCATCCGGATGCGCGCGCGTCCGCCGACGTATAGGGGATCGGATTTGTCAAGCCCTACTGTAGATGCTCTTGTCACAGCCAATATTTGTTTCAACTACGGTATCTCTACACATGGAAAGAAATACCACCGTTTCATTGTCAAGCCTGATCAGAATGCCATCACGATCTAATCACATCAAATATTTGGCTTAACTACATATCTCCACGCAAGGAAACATACACCACTGTATCATTAACATCCATATTTCATCAATCAAATCCCGCCAATCTATCTTTTCTCTCTCTATATATATATGGTCCATATAATACTCCACAAAACATTCAGAAGTCAAAACACAAACAATTATACTTTGATCAAAGGGCATTTGCAATAGAAAGTGATACATCGCCTAGCTATGAAGACATGGCCGGGGAGTGCACCAAGCGCATACACGCACTACTACTTCTCCTTCTCGTATGCTTCACTATTCATGCGCAATGTAAGTGATAATGGATGACGAGACAGATCTTATCTTATTCTCGTGTGCTTCAATATCCGTTCTTTAATATTTCCATGTTTTTGTCATGAATATAAATCGTCTATATGTGTCAAAAATTCTGTAGGCAGATGCATAGAGGCGGACAAGGAGGTTCAACTTGAGTATATCAAGAAGAGTCAACCCATCCCAAGATGCTGCCTAGATAAACATAATGACTACTGTTGTTCACTCAATTTGGTTTGCTACGACACTATTGATCAGTGCACAGCCAACTGCTCAATTTCACGTTCGTCTGCAACCGTCTCCTCGTCCTCATCATCTTCCGTGCTTCCATGAAACCAGATTATTATTACCAGTTGGAAAGAAAGAAGAATGAATAAGAGACAATAGATTACTGTGATTACTTCCGCATTATTTGGCAGCTTTTCTTTACAGTTTGGTTTGCCAAAACATGAGGGATCAACAGCCATCATGCTACAAAATGATGGATGTATGAAACCAGATTATTATTATGAGTTGTAAAGAATGAATAATAACGAGACAGTATATTACCATGAATTCCCTTCAGTATCTTTTCAATTCGGCAAAATTTGTCAATCAAGTACAAGAACTAAACCGACTGACTAGTGTACCCTAGATCTACAAAAAAAAAGGAAAAAGATTTACTAACCTACAACAGCTCTATGTGCACACGCAACACCATCTTTGGGCTCGATCGATCCCCTGCGTGTTCCCACGAATGCACGCGTTGTCGATGCTCAAGGCGCAGCGGCAGGCTCCAAAGACAAGGCCCAGGACCCCCACGACGAGCCAGAAGATATCAGGGAAGCTCGCATGAATGGAGCCGGAGCGAGTAGAGAAAAGGACCAGCAGGACGGTGGCCGAGACGATGATGATCACGCAGTTAAACAAAGCTTCGCATGGTTGCCAGCACTTGCTTATGTTGTCAGACTCCGCCGCCACGGCTACGCCGCCTCCGGGGATAGGGTTCTCAACGTCGGCAATATGCATGTATCCACCTCTTGGTTCCGTCTGCGTCGGTGCACTCGTTTGGTTTTGATCAACGATCATGAATCAGGGGCTCATTAAGCCGGACATTAAAAAGGCAGTTTTTTAGTTCCTTCCTTTCTCATCTTTATTTGCTTCCTTGTTAATTTTTCTTCCTTGTTAGTTTTGGATGCGGGCAGCAATCAAACTGTTAGACATGTGTATATGCTGTAACGGGATTCTTGTTGTAACCTTCCTGTAATTATGGATCGCATCACGCCAGAGCCTGCGTGCCTGTTTTGTAGGGCGTGAGTGCTCCTCTCCATGTAATCAAGGCAAACATAATTCTCTTCAACATGGTATCAGACACCAGGAACACTCCATGGGCGCGCCGAACACCTCCGCCGACACTAGCGCCGCCCCGTCGCCGGGCTCCCTCTCCTCCACGGCGCCCGCCGCTGACACCACCTCCGCCACTTCGGCGGCCTCCTCCCCCTCCTTCGTGTTCGGTACGCACTCCTCCGGCACCTCCACATCTTCCGGATCGCGCTTCGCCCCCCTCTTCTCCTCCACTGCTCCGGCGCCTTCTCCGGCTTCCACTCCGGCCTCTCTCCTCCCGATTTATCGCGACCACATCACCAACCACATCAAATTTCTCCTCAACCCTGCTGACCACAATTACCACAAGTGGAAGTCTTTCTTCATCATGGTCCTCGTTCGTTACGGCGTCACTCACCTCATCGAGCACCCCCCGCCACCCAACGCCGATGCCGCCTATCTTGAGCTTGATGCCCATGTTGCCCTCTGGATCTACGCCACTCTCTCTGACGCCATGGTGGATCATGTCGTCGGCGCCACCACCACGTTTGCCATCTGGAAGAAGATCCATGACTGCTTTCTCTCGAATCGCGACGTCCGGTTCATGATCCTCAACAGGCAATATCGCAACCTCAAGCAGGGCGACCTCTCTGTCCAGGAGTACGCTCGTCGCATGAAACTCCTCACCGATGGGCTCGCCAACATCGAGCGCGCCGTCATCGAGGTCGACCTCACCACACAATTCCTTCACGGCCTCGACAAACGCCTCGACACCATCCGCGTGGTCCTCGGTGATCAGGGGCTGCCGTTCGACGTCGTGCTCTCCCGCATCTCCTTGGCCGAGGAGTCCATGGCGCAACGCTCCGCCGAGGAAAGCGCCTCGGTGTTTGCCCTCCACAACGGGGGCTCTTCTTCTGGCAGCAGCTCGAGCACCGGTGGTCCTCGCGGGGATCGCTCCGGTGAGCGCACCCCGGTCCCCTCACCGCACCCCCCCTGCCCGTGGCCGCGGCGACCGCCACGGTGATGGTGGTGACCGTGGGCGTGGGCGTGGTCGTGGCCGCGGTGGCCGCGGCCGTGGCGACTCTGGCGGGCGCGGGCAGTCCGCGGTCCCTCCCATGGCGCCCTTCACCGGCTACTTCGCGCCCTATGGGATGGCCCTGCCCGCCCCTCGCTCTGCCTAGGTGCCCCCCAACGCGGCGGGCGTCCTCGGTCCGCGCCCGGGCTCGCATGCGCAGGCCTACCCCGTCCAGCACACGGCTCCACCGACTCCTGCTCCGCACTACCCGCCGGCGTTGTACTACCCTCCTCCGCCGCCCTCATGGGACCATTTCACCATGCTGAATGCCGCTTACAGCCACGGTGGTCACCACGCGGCCGCCCCCTCCAACGAATGGTTCCTCGACAGTGGCGCCACCTCCCACATCACCGGCAACCAAGGTATCTTGACCTCGTCCAGTTCTTCTTTAAAGCGTTCTACTCCATCTTCTGTGCTTGTTGGCAATGGACACTCTCTCCCTATTACTGCATCTGGTTCTACTACACTCGCTCCTTCTCCCTTTAAGTTGAATGATGTACTTGTTTCTCCTTCCATAGTTCCCAATCTTATCTCCGTTAGACAATTCACTCGCGACAATTTTTGCTCTATTGAATTTTATCCCTTTGGTTTCCTTGTGAAGGATCTACGAACGCGGAAGGTGCTCCTGATCTCCACTAGCTTCGATGGCCTCTACCCACTCTTCGGCAGCAACTCCCCTTGGCCTACTGCGCTCACCGCCACCACTTCCATGTCGGACATCTGGCATCGTCGGCTTGGCCACCCCGGCGCGCACTCCTTTTCCTCTATAGCTAAAGATTTTCTTAGCACTTGTAATAAGCCACCCCACACTCCATGTAGTGCTTGTCAAATGGGTCGGCAGCCCCGGCTTCCCTTTTCTTCTTCCCTCAATAAGTCTTACGCTCCCTTTGATTTAATTCATTGTGATTTGTGGACCTCACCTGTTGTAAGTTTTTCTGGTTTTGAATACTACTTAGTTATTCTCGATGATTACACTCATTACTCGTGGTCTTTTCCCTTACGCCATAAATCCGACACATCCACCGTCTTACAACGCTTCTTTACATTTGTTCATACCCAATTTGGCGTAGTGATCAAGAGCATGCAGTGTGACAATGGCGGTGAGTTCATCAACTCCTCTCTCCGTTCTTTCTTCTCCTCCAACGGCATTGTCTATCTTCTCCTGCCCCCACACTTCGCCCCAAAATGGAAAAGCCAAGCGTCTTATTCGCACTACAAACGACATTGTGCGCTCTCTTCTCTTCCAAGCCCATCTCACACCTCCATTCTGGGTCGAAGCCTTACACACCGCCACATACCTTCTCAACCGACGGCCCTCCCGTGCCATCAACAATTACACTCCATATTACCTTCTACACGGCTCCCATCCATCCTATGATCATCTCCGTGTCTTTGGATGTTTGTGTTTCCCTAATCTCTATGCCACAACCGACCACAAATTATCCCCACGCTTGTCTCGCCGTATCTTCTTGGGCTACCCTCCGGAACACAAGGGCTACCGGTGTTATGATCTCACCTCTCGTCGCGTTATAGTTTCCAGGCACGTTATCTTCGACGAAACAGTTTTCCCTTACGCTCCACCCACATGCATGTCACAAACCCCCACGTCCACAGAAAATCCCACCCTGCGGATCTTACCTGCCCGTCCTGTCACCTCGGATCCCGCCACTGATCCAACTCCACCCGCCGTGCCCGGGCCCCACCTGATCCCCTCGGATCGCGCCTCCCCGCCCCACACGCCGCGTCGCGACTCGCCCGCCCAGTCCGCGGCCTCCATGCGCTCCCCCACCAACCAATCGACCGATTCCACCCCCTCCCCTGGCCCGCGCACTCCCACCGGTCCCCTCCTGACGCAATCTTCCTCAGATTCCGCACCTTCCCGCAGTGCCGCCCCTTCTCACGGATCTTCCTCGCATTCCGCACCTATCGGTTCGCCCCCCTCACCTGTGCGCCCCACCAGCTCCTCCTCGTCTTCCGCACCGCCCACTACACCGCCAACGCGCCTCCCCCCTCGTGCCGTTCCCATTGCACCCACTAAAAACAACCATTCCATGACCACTCGTGCCAACTCTGGTTTTTGCATGCCCAAGCGACTCTTCCTTGTTGACTCAACCTCTCCAGCTATCTCACCACTCCCTGCTACGTACAAATCTTCTCTCAAGGATCCCAATTGGCAACAAGCTATGGTAGATGAATTTAACGCTTTAATGAAAAACTCTACTTGGTCTTTGGTGCCTAAACCTGCAGGTGTCAATGTGGTCACGGGGAAGTGGATTTTTCGTCACAAGTTCAACATGGACGGCTCTTTGGCACGCTATAAAGCATGATGGGTGGTGCGTGGCTTCACACAACGAGAGGGTGTGGACTATGATGAAACCTTTAGTCCGGTGGTCAAACCAGCCACAATCCGTGTTGTTCTCAGTATTGCCACCTCCCAAGCTTGGCCTATCCATCAACTTGATGTCAAGAATGCCTTCTTGCATGGTGATCTCCATGAGACGGTGTATTGCTCTCAACCGGCGGGCTTTGTCGACCCATCCTTTCCTAACCATGTTTGTCTTCTTCGTAAGTCACTCTATGGTCTTAAACAAGCACCCCGTACGTGGTTTCTTCGCTTTAAATCATATTTTCTCTCGCTTGGTTTTTGTGCCTCCAAAAGTGACACCTCACTCTTCATTCTCCACCACGGTTCTACCATTGCTTATTTGTTGGTTTATGTCAACGATATTATTCTCACTGCCAACTCCACCACCGCCTTAGAGCTTCTCATTCGGTCTCTCAAATCCAAATTCTCCATGTCAGACTTGGGTGCTCTCCATCACTTTCTTGGCATCAATGTGACCTCTAACCCCTCTGGTCTCTTTCTTTGCCAACAACAATATGCCTTGGAGATTCTAGACCGCGCAAAGATGTTACACTGCAAACCGGTGTCCACCCCTATTGATACTAGCTCCAA